AAGCTTCAAAAGGTCTACACCCAGTAAAAAGCTCCAAAGAACTTTAAAAACGTACTTCATCTATTGAAGGAATCCGAAATATATTTTGTCTGCTGTAAAGCTTTTTAAGCTTCAAAGAGTCTACACTCATCAAAAAGCTCCGAAGGGAGTTTGGTCTATTAAAACAATACAGAAGAGCTTTGAAGGTTCTTCTGTTTATGGAAGAGTTCGAAAAACTTGTTTACCTAATGAAGAGCTTAAAAAGTTCTTCTGCTTTAAATGGCATTTCGTCGATTGAGATATTATCAAAGGTCTATCTAAGCTATAACAAGTACGAAAGCAGTTAAGTTTGGCAGGACCGAACTTTTTATACCCTACACCATTTGGAAGAAACATTTCAAAAAAAAATCCGTCGGAAATTACCGCTCAAATGAAAACCTTTATATGGGGCTATACGAAGAGGTGGTCTTGTATAATTAATTTGTGTCATAGGCTGTAGCAACGGTTTCGAACTTTATATATGAAATGTAAAACGATTCTGGAAAGTGATGTCGCAAAAATCATGAAAATACCGAATATCTTGGGGTACCGTTATATGGGCGCTATATTAAAACGTGGACCTATTAGGACAATTCTCTTCTAGGAGGTAAAGTACTAAAGAGGAAACCCTTGTGTGAATTTTAAGACTATTCCGTTAAAAATGTGGCTAAAATCATCAAAATGCCGAATATCGAGAGGTGCCGTTATGTGGCGGATATACGAAAGCTTCCGATTCCTATAAAAGCTTCGATATGTATTTTCTATATGGGAGATTTTCAATAGGTTTCTCTATAGAATTCGTTTTAAAATGCTCTGATCATTGAAGATCTTATAATGTTGTTCGCGTTCCATAATAGATCTTCAAATGGTACTTTTTTTATGGAGACCCCCCTAACAGTCTTCAATCCACAGGAAGTTTTTTATACCCTACACCTCAAGGTGGTCAGGGTATTATGTCTTTGTGCATTTGTTTGTAACAGGCAAAAGGAAATGAGTTAGACCCATAGTTCCTTTTGATGATCTGCATAGAATCACATTCTGAGTCGATTTATGCATGTCCGTCCGTCCGTCTGTCCATGTATTTTTGTAAACAAAGTACAGTTCGCATTTATTAACCGATCTAGATGAAATTTTGCACAAACCTTTTGTTTGGCCCAAGGACGAACCCTATTGAAATTGGAGGTAATCGGTCAAAATTTAGATATAGCTCCCATATATATCTTCGTCCGATTTGCTTTTTATTGTGCACCAAACGAGTAATATCAGTCCGAATAGTATGGAATTTTGCACATACAACCAAATTAGACCTGAAATTAAGTATGCCAAATTTGAAATCGGTTCAGATATAGCTATAGCTCCCATATATATTGTTCATCCGATTTGTTATTTTTGTCCTCCGCAGCCGTAATATGCACTCTGTAACAACAATATTTGGGGAAATATATCAAATACAGCTCAGAAATACATTTTCTAAATTTTATCGAGATCGGTTCAGATTTGGATATAGCTCCCATATATAACTTCGTCCGATTTACTTTTAATTGTGCACCAAACGTCTAATAGTTGTCCAAATGGGATGGAATTTGGCACTTACGACCGAATTGAGCCTAGAAGCTAGTATGTCAAATTTGGTGAAGATCGGTTCATATATAGCTATAGCTCCCATATATACTGTTCATCCGATTTGTTATATTTGTTACCCACAGCCGTAATATGCACTCCGTAACAACGATATTTAGGCAAATATATCAAATACAGCTCAGAAATATATTTGCCAAATTTTATTGAAATCGGTTCCGATTTGGATATAGCTCCCATATATATCTTTATCCGTTTTCAAATTAATTGTGCACCAAATGGGCAATACGAGTCCGAATTTAAAAGATACAAATGCTTCACCATATATAGTCCTTTATAATTATAATTATATATAATTATAATTATGAACGTTTAATTGTTATGCGGAGCTCTACTAAATTAGCAAAGTGATGTAGGGTATCATAAATTCGGTCCCGGCCGACTTTAAGACTTTCTTTACTGGTTTTAAATGATTTTGCTCGCAGAAGGTCTTGAGAAGATGTTCCTTCCATAGACCACATTGCTGCTGTGTTTCGTTTATAGACAACCCTCTAATGGCCTCCAACCCATAAACAAGCTTCAGAAATTCTTTTTTTGTATAGAAAGCCTTCTATAGAACACCTACAGGAGGTCTTTTGCATACTCAGAGGTCTTCAAGAGCTCTTTTATTTATAGACACCTTAAGGAGTCCTTTTGTCAATAGGAAGACTGGCATCTTTGAAAGATCTTCGATTTTTTAAAGATTTTTGAGAGGGATATTTTATGTATAGGAATTTTATAGAGGACATATATGATGCCTCCCCCGCTCCCCCTGAAGCTTGTATTATTTTCCATCTTCCATATGAACAATTTCAACCGTTCTTAGCTAAATTATTTTCATTTTGTTACAACCCATATCTCCGGTGTATCATGCCCCATCCACGTTTCCTCTATGCGACATTTCCTCGACTCGATTATGTCCTGCAAGGAAATGATAAAATGCAGTTGTTGCCAGAACTTTCTTAAGTAGGATATTGTCGAAAGCTGTCCAGACATACAAAAATAAAAAAAAACAAAAAACAACAATAAAAAAACTTATCCCTTCCCTTGCAAATGGAAACATACAAACAAACAAACGAAAATGAGACCAACAAATAAACACGTAACCAGAAACAGTTTTCAGCATGGATTTAAAAGGGAACAACAACAACAACGACGACAACAGGAACAACAATGGAAAAGAAATTATTTAAATTGTTGTAAACTGTTTCATTCAGCACCGGCATAAGATTCTTAATTTACAGTCAGTTAGGCAAAACAAAGCCATCAAGTCTCAAGTTTTAAAGGCAAAGCTTTAAGTGAGTTTGGTGGATGGTGATTTCAGGGGATTTAGAGGGATTTATAGGGAAATCAAGTGAATTTAAGTATTTTTTATAAAAAAACAAGTAAGCAAAAACTACAGTCGAGCGGGGCCGACCGTTGAATACCCTACAACACTATAATAAACGATACAGTTAATATAGGCGAGATACTCGAAAAAATTCCACAAGATATTGTGACAAATAATAAAAGAAACCCATCAGGTTTCGTTCTCTAATTTTCGAATAATAGCATCTTAAACGAATTTGCTCATTTCCAATTTATTGGTAGATGTTGCACGTAAATGGTCTTCCTAGATCTGGAACCAATATTTCCCAAAGACCTATAATCCCACAGAAGTGGCAAAAGATTAACATTTATTATTGGTTTTTGACTGAAACGCATCTATATGAGATACAGACATTTGACTATATTCTTCAGCGAAATCAGCGTTAACGAAATAGTCAGAAGTGCTTCTTTCCTGTATTTGTGAATTCTCCAAAAAGTCACTGGAATGAACATTTTCGTATTTTGTCTATAAACGTTGGCAAACTCCTTCACACATTGAATATTTTTGGATGGCCATCCAAAACTGCTTGGCTTTTGCAATGTCCGGTAATCCCCTTTCTAATGTGCGTGAGGATCGTGCGATAATTATGACCTGCTGACAATTTTGCAGTTTTTTGGTCCATTTCAACCCCTAAATATATTGAGATCATCTCAAAAAAGAGTAGGCTTCTATTCCCATGCAAAATTTCGTAAAGATCGGGCCATAAATGCGATCTGTATATGATATCCTGATATCCTAACTACTTAGTTTTGTTGGCTGTAGAAATATTACCAAATGTTTAATTCAAAATGAAAATATGCCAAAAATATGACAAAATTGAAAAAATATGAGAAAATATTACAAAATCAATATTTTCATCTTTAGAGAGATATTTTTATGCGATTTTTTAGACGTTTTTTGTTTCCTGCCAAGAGGCCATTCTGAATTAATGAGAACTGTCGAAATCAGTTCAGCCGTTCTCGACATATAAGAGATCTTTCAAGCATATCTTCTTTGATAGACATATATATCGCACATATTTCGCTATATATCCGATTTGTTGGATGTTAACATCAATGAAGAGGTCAGAAGTAACCTTGTCATGGCTTTGTGATTTCGCCGGGATTTAAAAAATTCACAGTTTAATGAAAAATTTTGAATTTTTTCAACACAAAAGACATGGTCTGTTTTACCCGCTAAATATTATCCGACGACCACCCAAATTGGTAGACTTCTTCCCTGACCTAAACTCTAGCTACATGCGAAATTCCGCGTCGATTGGTCTATAATTGCGACCTGTATAGCTACTGCAAAATCCGACATTTTTTCAGTATTTGGTCCATTTCAAACCCTAAACATTTGGCGATCATCTCCAAAAGAAATAGGCTTCTATTCTGACCCAAACCCCACCTTCGTGCAAAATTTCGTAAGAATCGGGCCATCACCTGTAGAGTGATTACAAATTAACATGGACAGACGGACAGACGGACATACATAGCTAGATCGACTCAGCTCGGCGAGCTAGGAAGATCCATATATACTTTCCTATATGGGAAACCAATATTTCGAGGTGTTACATAATTTTTGGCCCAATCAAACTTATAATACCCCCAACACATAGTGTTGTAGGGTATAATTAAAAATTATGGCGTTCGACTTTGTTGCAGTTTTTTTCATCTCACCCTTCATGTGTAGGCTCAACATGTATCATAAAAATGTGGGATCCATTTTGGGTTAATTTTTTTTTTTTTTTGCAAATTTTGCATTTTTACCGTATTCGGGGCAAATTGTCCTAAAATTGCACTGTGCAATAGCCAGTCGTGGTTGTGTAGAATTCAAAGTGGATTGCATTGTAATCGGTTTGTAGATCAAACCCCCAAAAAATTTAGGGAGTCAAAAGGCGACAGGTTAACTTTGATAGTAAAATATTTTCTTCTATTTTTCAATTATTTAATAGCTTGAAATTTGACACTTAATCCTGTTGTATACACTCTCACATGCTTCTTTGTTTTTTAACTTTTGCAAAGACACCAATCAATTCAAAACAATACGATCTGGGACGTTTCATATTATTTTCGTCATAGGCATAGACGTTGACCACGATTTTATGACGTCCCTCCAAATTTATGAAATATTCGGCAGTAGTATTCACATTATAGGGACGATAATGAATAGTGTGCTAGAAATAGAGAAGAACAAACAAGTAAAAAAGCTGTAAGTTCGGCCGGGCCGAACTTTTAATACCCTCCACCATTTGGTACAAATTTGGCAATTTCCAAAAAAAAAAAAAAAAATAAAATAAATAAATAAATAAAATAAAAAAAATCCTTTAAAAATTCTGTTAAAATCTTAAAAATACCGAATGTCTATACGACGACGTATACCTGCATAGGCAACTTTTGTCATAAGTTATGACAACATTTAAATGCGAAACTTGAAGAAAAATTTGTTTATAATGTAGCTAAAATCATCGAAATACCGAATATAGGGGGTACCGTTATATGGAGGCTATACGAAGACGTGGACCTGCACAGACAATTTTCTGGCATGGGCTGAAGTATCCATTACGAACTTCAAATGCGAAATTTAAAACAATCCCGGTAAATAATGTCGCTAAAATCATCAAAATACTGAATATCGGGGGGTACGGTATATGGGGCCTATACGAAGACGTGGACCTACATGGTCCATTTTCTGTTTTCTGCTGCAGTATCTATTACGAACTTCAAATACCAAATTTGGAACAGTTCCGTTAAATAATGTCGCTAAAATCATCAAAATACCGAATATCGGGGGAGGTACGGTATATGGGGGCTATAGGAAGACGTGGACCTACATGGCTCATTTTCCAAATACCAAATTTGGAACGGTTCCGTTAAATAATGTCGCTAAAATCATCAAAATACCGAATATCGGGGGGTACCGTTATATGGGAGCTATATGAAAACTTGGACCTACATAACCCATTTACGAACTTAACCTGCCTACTGGCAAAATATACATGTGTGCAAAATTTTAGCCTTCTATCTCAATTTGTTCGAAAGATAGCGTGATTACAACAGACAGACAGACAGACGGACAGACAGACAGACAGACAGACAGACACACAGACAGACAGACGGACATGGCTAAATCGTCTTAGAATTTTACGCTGATCAAGAATATATATACTTTGTTGGGTCTGACGTGAGTATTTCGAGGAGTTACAAACGGAATGACAAAATTAATACCAAAATTATACCTAGAGATGAAAATCGCAAATTGAAAAGAAAATAAATTAAATTTATTTGTAATCCTAGGAAAACAAAGAAAACTAACCTCCATGCGATCGGTGGGTTTTACATCTTCCCATATAAAGGTCATATTACCCGCAACGCGAACAACACCGTCATTATATTCCGTAATTATTTCCGATACATCAACAATATCTAGGATTCCATTGGTGCCGGGTTTATCAGGACAGGCGGTAAATATTTGATCACCCTCTGGTGTAAACTCATAGATGGCTCCGTGTATCATCTGCCAGGAAAGTGTGAATAATATCCACCCACTTGGCTTTGGAAATAACATTTTCCTTCTTTAAACTTCCGTCGAATTCCGCAAAGTTTCAAAGTTTTTTGAAATATTTGATCGGTTTGCTGGTATTATGTATTTATAGTGGCAGACTTATGCGCTACCCTATAATTTGCAATTTTGTATTTCACAACTTTGTATGTCAGATCGCCATCGGACAGGAATTATAATTACAATGTTAGAGTATAAATTTAAAATACTTTTTAAAACAATGTTTACAATCGCGGATTTCTTTTCAAATATTTTTAAAACAATATTTAAGAAATATGTATTTTTTAAATAAAAAAAAAAAATTCGCATTTTTTTAAGGCGATTTGAAGTATTTTTGCGATTTTTTTCTTAACATTGATGGATACATTTTTTGATATATAATGAAAATAGAGTGTTCTTTCCGTTGGCGACTTATAGTGAAATTTAGTGTAGAATATTTTACTGTTTGATACTTTCTGTCTAAAACAAAGTTTTATGTTACTTTCATGCAAAACTTAAAAAAAAGCGCAACAAAAAATCATCCAAAAATAATTTTTTTTTTATTTTTTTTTTCAACATTGATACAAATATTTTCCTGATAAATAATGAAGATAGAAAGTTGCTTCCTTTCATGACTTATAGTGAAATTTTGTGTAGAATATTTCCCTCTTTAATACTTTCTATGTAAAATGAAGATTTTTGCCATTTCCATGCATCAACTCGAAAAAAGGCCCAAACAAATTCCTATAAAAATATGGAATATTTTCAAGTATTTTTTCGCAACATTGATGTATATATTATCTTGATATGTAATGAAAATAGCAAGATCTTTTCTTTGGTGACTTATAGTGAAATTTGATGAAGAATATTTCCTCCTTTCAAATTTTTCGTCTAAAATGAGATTTTATGCTACTTTTATGCGTCAACTCAAAAAAAGATCGAATCAAAATCCTTCAAAAACTAAAAAATATTTTTTGCGTTTTCCTTGCAAATTTGATACAAATATTTTCTTGACATATAGTGAAACTAGAGATTTCTTATCGTTGGTGACCTATAGTTATATATGATGGAGAACATTTTTCTCTTTGATATTCTCCATCTGAAACGAAGTTTTGTATTAATTTCATGCATCAACTCGGAAACTGCCAAAAAATCCATTGACAAAATAGTAGATATTTTCGGTTTTTTGACAATATCAATACAAATATATTCTTGATATATATATGAAAATAGACATTTCTTTTCTTCGGTGACTTATAGTAAAATTTGATGGAGAATATTTCTTCTTTTCGAACTTTTTGTTTAAAATGAAATTTTATCTTACTTTCATGCGTCAACTCAAAAAAAGGGTCGAACAAAAATCCATCAAAAACTAGGAAATATATTTTGCGTTTTCCTCACAAATTTGATACAAATATTTTCTTGATATATAATGGAACTAGAGATTTATGTTCTTTGGAGACATGCAGTGAAATTCGGTGTAGAGCATTTTATCCTTTAAAACTTTCTGCCTAAAATTAAGTTTAAGTGTCAATTTTATGCATCAGCTTCAAAAGAAGGTCAAAGAAAAATCCATCAAAAAATAGAAAATATTTTTGTTTTTTTTTTTTACAATATTGGTTCAAATATTTTCTTGATATATATTAAATATTGACATTTCTTTTCTTTGGTGACTTATAGTGAAATTACATGAACAATGTTTTTCCCTTTGATACTTTTCATCTAAAATGAAGGTTTATATCACATTCATGCATCAACTCAAAAAATACCGAAAAAATCCATCAAAAAATTTAAAATATTTTCTCGCTTTTTTTGCAAAATTCATTGAAATATTTTTTTGATATATAACAAAAACAAGAGATTTATTTTCTTTGGTGGCTCATAGTAAAATGTGGTATAGAATATTTTCTACTTTGAAAGCTTCTGTCTAAAAATTTCTGTCTAAAATTTAATGCTACTTTCATGCATCAACTCAGAAAAAGCCAAAGCAAATTCCATCTAAAAATAAAAAAATATTTTTATAAATTTCCTTCCAAATTCGACATGTAATGAAAATAGAGAATTCCTATCTTTGGTGACTTACAGTGAAATTCGATAGAGAATATTTTCGTCTTTAATACTATCTCTCAGAAATAAAGTTTTATATCACTTTCATGCATCAACTCAAAAAAGGCCGAATAAATTCATCAAAATATAGAAAATATTTTTCTCGTTTTTTCGCAACATTGATTCGAATATTTCCTTGATATATAATGAAAATAGTTATTTCTTTTCTTTGGCGACTCATAGTAGAATTTGATATAGAATATTTTCTCCTTTAAAAGTTTCTGTCTAAAATAAAGTCTAATGCTACTTTTATGCATCAACTCAAGAAATCAACCAAAACTAATTCCATAAAAAAAAAAATTAAATATTTTGTCGATTTTTTTTCTCAACATTCTTACAGGTATTTTCTTACTATATAATGAAAATATAGGTTTCTTTTCTTTGGTGACTCATAGTCAAATTTTCTGTAGAATATATTCGCCTTTAATGCTTTTTATTTAAAATAATGTTTTATGTCACTTTCATGCATCAACTCAAAAAAAAAAAAAAAAAACAGCCAAAGCTAATTCCATCAAAAAACGAAATATTTTGTCGATTTTTCTTTTCAACATTGTTACAGGTATTTTCTTCATATGTAATGAAAATAGAGAATTCATATCCTTGGTGACTTATAGTGAAATTCGATGAAGAATATTTCCGCCTTTAATACTATCTCTCAGATATAAAGTTTTATATCACTTACATGCATCAGCAAAAAAAAGCCGAAAAATCCATCGAAAAATAAAAAATATTTTCTGGTTCATTCGCAACATTGTTTCGAATATTTTCTTAGTATTTAACAATAAAAGATATTTATTTTCTTTGGTGACTCACAGTAAAATTTGGTATAGAATATTTCCTCCTTTGATAGTTTTTTTCTAAAATAAAATTTAATGGTACATTCATGCATCAACTCAAAAAACAGCCAAAGCAAATTCCATCTAAAAATACGAAACATTTTTTTATATCCTTTCAAATTCGATATATAATAAAAATAGACAATTCATATCTTTGGTGACTTATAGTGAAATTTGATGAAGAATATTTCCGCCATTAACACTATTTCTTAGAAATAAAGTTTTATATCACTTTCATACATCAACTCAAAAAAGGTCGAATAAATTCATCAAAATATAGAAAATATTTTTCTCGTTTTTTCGCAACATTGATTCGAATATTTCCTTGATATATAACGAAAATAGTTATTTCTTTTCTTTGGCGACTCATAGTAGAATTTGATATAGAATATTTTCTCCTTTAAAAGTTTCTGTCTAAAATAAAGTCTAATGCTACTTTCATGCATCAACTCAAGAAATCAACCAAAACTAATTCCATAAAAAGAAAAAAATTAAATATTTTGTCGATTTTTTTTCTCAACATTCTTACAGGTATTTTCTTACTATATAATGAAAATATAGGTTTCTTTTCTTTGGTGACTCATAGTCAAATTTTCTGTAGAATATATTCGCCTTTAATGCTTTTTATTTAAAATAATGTTTTATGTCACTTTCATGCATCAACTCAAAAAAAAAAAAAAACAGCCAAAGCTAATTCCATCAAAAAACGAAATATTTTGTCGATTTTTCTTTTCAACATTGTTACAGGTATTTTCTTCATATGTAATGAAAATAGAGAATTCATATCCTTGGTGACTTATAGTGAAATTCGATGAAGAATATTTCCGCCTTTAATACTATCTCTCAGATATAAAGTTTTATATCACTTACATGCATCAGCAAAAAAAAGCCGAAAAATCCATCGAAAAATAAAAAATATTTTCTGGTTCTTTCGCAACATTGTTTCGAATATTTTCTTAGTATTTAACAATAAAAGATATTTATTTTCTTTGGTGACTCACAGTAAAATTTGGTATAGAATATTTTCTCCTTTGATAGTTTTTTTCTAAAATAAAATTTAATGGTACTTTCATGCATCAACTCAAAAAACAGCCAAAGCAAATTCCATCTAAAAATACGAAATATTTTTTTATATCCTTTCAAATTCGATATATAATAAAAATAGACAATTCATATCTTTGGTGACTTATAGTGAAATTTGATGAAGAATATTTCCGCCATTAACACTATTTCTTAGAAATAAAGTTTTATATCACTTTCATACATCAACTCAAAAAAGGCCGAATAAATTCATCAAAATATAGAAAATATTTTTCTCGTTTTTTCGCAACATTGATTCAAATATTTTCTTGATATATAACAAAAAACGAGGTTTATTATCTTTGGTGGCTCATAGTAAAAATTGGTATAGAATATTTTCTCCTTTGATAGTTTCTGTCTAAAATAAAATTTAATGGTACTTTCATGCATCAGCTCAAAAAACAGCCAAAGCTAATTCAACAAAAAAAATCGAAATATTTCGTCGATTATTATTTTTTTTAATTATTACAGGTATTTTCTTAATATATAATAAAATAGAGATTTCTTTTAATTGGTGACTCATAGTGAAATTTACTGCAGAATATATTCCCCTTTAATACTTTCTGTATAAAATCAAGTTTTATGTCACTTTCATGCATCAACTCAAAAATAGACCAAAGAAAAATACATAAAAAAACGAAATATTTTGTCGATTTTTATTTTCAACATTGTTACAGGTATTTTCTTGATATATAACGAAAATAGATATTTCTTTTATTTGGTGACTCATAGTGAAATTTACTGTAGATTATAATCCCCTTGAATGCTTTTTGTCTAAAATTAAGTTTTATGCCACTTTCATGCATCAACTCAAAAATAGACCAAAGAAAAATCTCAAAAAAAACAACACATATTTTTTCGGCAATATTGATACAAATATTTCCTTGATATGCAATGAAAATGGGGACGTCATGTCTTTGGTGTCTTCTTGTGAAATTTGGTGCAGAATATTTTTCCCTCAGATATTTTTGTCTAAAATGAAGTTTTATGTCACTTTCATGCCTCGAGTTGAAAAAAGAGCAAAGAAACATCCCTCAA